CTCAGCAGCTGAGGATCTCTGAGGATGCGGACTTGGCTGGGCTAAGATGAGTCGGGTGTCGGGGGCCCCAGAATCCCCTCAGAGTCCCCTCAGTGGAGTCCCTTGTAGATTACATCAGAGGGGAAGCTGCCAATCTAACTGAGGTCTTGCCCCAGGGCAGTTTTGCCCCCAGGGAACTTGGAAATGGTGGGGGGGTGCGTTTGTGTTTGTCACAACTAGAGGAGGGGGTGCCCCCGGCATGGCGTGGATGGAGGCCGGGAACATTGCTCAGCACCTGCAATGCCCAGGACACTCCACCCCAGAGAAGGATCCAGCCCTGAATGCCAAGTGGGGGACTGCATTAGTTATTTGGAAAAAGAAAATCAAGTCTGCTCCCTCCTCACACCAGACACCAGAATAAACTCCCAATATGGCAGACAGTATAAACCAGGGGACCCCAGCTCCTGGGATTCTCCTCCTCTCCCCATCATCATTCAGGGTGTGGATTTCAATGTGTGTAGCCTCCTGGGACCTCAGCAGAGCAGAGGATCATGGGCCGCAGAGTCTCTTGGGGGTCCGTGGAATCCCCTAACCCAAGGGGTGTCAATGGAGGGTGATTCTGCCCCCAGGGGACACTGGGCCAAGCCTGGGACATTTGTGTTTTTCTCATGACTGGGGGTGCTCCTCGCATGGAGTGGGTGGAGGCCAGGGACGCTGCTCAGCACCCTGTAGTGCCCAGGATGGCCCCTCCCCAGAGAGTGACCCACGCTGACGTCCACAGTGCAGAGACGCTGCCCTAGTGGCAGACACACCAGATTCAGAATTGAAGGATCTGAGTTCAAGCCCAGACTCGTACCTTTCACCTCGCACCCTCAGGCGGGGCAGCTGGCCTCAGCTTCTGGACGTGTAGCATGGGTGAGCCCCTCCCGCCAGCCAGGGAATGATGAGTTTCACAAGAGCAGGTCCTCCAGGGCCCCAGCAGATGCCAGGCCTGTTACTAATAACAGCAAAGGTCCATGATCACTTAGCAGGAATGAGAGCGTCCACTTTCTACCCACCCTGCCAGCCTCACAGGGCTCCAGCATGAACCCCCGTAGGGTTAGTTTATGAGTGCATAGGGAAGTGCTCCCCGGAAAGCAGGAGAAACACGGGTGGGCAGATACATGTTTGCACCTCTGACAACCCAGTCACTGTGTACTAACTAGTAATGCGGTTGGCAGCTTGTAAAAAGTACTCATTAAAGAGGGAGACAAGGGCTGGGTGCGGTGGCTCAAGCCTGTAATCCCGGCACTTTGGGAGGCTGAGACGGGTGGATCCAGCCACTGCACTCCAGCCTGGGTGACAGAGTGAGATTCCGTCTCAAAAAAAACAAATTAAAAAAAAATAAAGAGGGAGACAGCCAGGCTCAGTGGCTCACATCTATAATCCCAGCACTTTGGGAGGCCAAGGTAGAAGGACCACTTGAGGTCAGGAGTTTAAGACCAGCCTGCACAACATAGTAAGACCCCCGTCTCTACAAAAAATACAGAAATTGCCAGGCGCGGTGGCTCACGCCTGTAATCCCAGCACTTTGGGAGGCCGAGGTGGGCGGATCACGAAGTCAGGAGTTCGAGACCAGCCTGGCCAACACGGTGAAACCCCGTCTCTACTAAAAATACAAAAAAAAATTAGCTGGGTGTGGTGGTGGGCGCCTGTAGTCCCAGCTTACTCAGGAGGCTGAGGCAGAAGAATCCTTGAACCCGGGAGGCAGAGGTTGCAGTGAGCCAAGATCGTGCCACTGCACTCCAGCCTGGGCAACAGAGCGAGACTCCATCTCAAAAAAGAAAAAAGAAAAAAAAAAAATACAAAAATTAGCCAGGCCCACACCCAGTAGTCCCAGCTACTCAGGAGACTGAGGTGGGAGGATTGCTTGAGCCACGGAGGTTGAGGCTAGAGTGGGCTATGATTGTGCCACTGCACTCCAGCCTGGGTGACAGAGCAAGACTTTGTCTCAAAAAATAAATAAATAAAGCAAACAAGAACAGTCAGGTCCCTGGCTCTGCCACTCAAGCTTTTTCCCCCTCGGCACTGTGGACATTCAAGGCGGATTGTCCTCTGGGGTGGGGTGTCCTGGGCACTGCAGGGCACTGGGCAGCATCCCTGGCCACCACCCACTCTGTGCCAGGAGCATCCCCCAGTTATGACAACCACAAATGCCCCCAGACATCACCCAGTATCCCCCGGGGTGCAGAATCGCCCCCCAGCTGAGACCCCCACTGCAGCTGGGTGTGGCTGAGAGCTCTTCACAGTGGCCACGAGGAGGGAGACTGGGGTGGGCCCCTGGCTCCTACTGGGCGGGCTCAGAGCATGGCTCCTGCCTCCCCGTTCAGACTGAAGCCATCCAGGAGACCAAGAAGGCGGTGCCAAGTCGGTGGTGCCCAGTCAAGCCCAGACCCTGTGGCCCCGGCAGTAAAAGTTCCGTGAAAGGAGTGTGGCCCTGGGTTTGGACGGGAGCTTGGGGCGTTCCTCCATGTGGCTTCCTCTTTCTGACACTTGGGCTCTTGTTTCTTGAAACCTTGGGCTGGGTCCTCTGAAGCAGGCACCAGAGGTGTCCGTGATGTCTCATCACTGTAACTGTCCCCTAGGTGACATGATCTTAGCTTTGTTTTGAGACAGGGTCTCACTGTGTCCCCCAGGCTGCAGTGCAGTGGCACAATCATGGCTCACTGCAGCCTCGACCTCCTGGGCTCAGGCGATCCTCCCACCTCAGCCTCCCAAGTAGCTGGGACTATACAGGCACATCCACCATGCCTGGCTAATTTCTAAGTATTTTTTGCAGAGACGGGGTCTCATTCTGTTGCCCAGGCTGGTCTTGAGCTCCTGGCCTCAAGCAATCCTCCTGCCTTGGCCTCCCAAAGTGCTGCGATTGCAGGCGTGAGCCATTGCACCTGGACAGGATTTCTTTTAGGGCTGATGAAAGTGTTCTGGAATTAGATAAAGGTAGTGGTTGCGCAACTCCAAACATGCCAGGAGTCACGTAACTGTACTCCTGAACTGTAACTGAAAAGGTTAAAATGTGTGGTATGTGAGTCAAATGTCAATCTAAAAACAGAAGAAAAGATGATCAGGAGAATTAGGACAGTATGCTAACCCCTTGATAACACCTGGCGCGGAGTGGCCTGGACAGGCCTTACTTCCTGCCTGCCTGCTTTCCCACAAGAGAAGTCAGAGATGCAGTAGGTACAGTGGCTCACACCTGTACTCCCTGCATTTTGGGAGGCTGAGGTGGGAGGATCGCTTGACTCCAGAAGCTCGAGACCAGCCCCCTGGGCAAAACAGCAAGACCCCATCTCTACAAAAATACAAAAATTATTCAGGTGTGGTGGTGTGCGCCTGTGGTTCCACCTACTCCAGAGGCTGAGGTGGGAGGATCACTTGAGCCTGGGAGGTCAAGGCTGCAGTGAGCTACAGTTGTGCTACTGCACCCCAGCCTGGGCAACAGAGCAAGACCCTGTCTCTAAAACACAAAAATGTAAACCAGACAGAAACACAAAACACTGACAGGATGCACGCCTGGGTGATGAGGGAAGACACGGCCACCCTCCAGCAGGAGTGAGGGTGGCCTTCCAGCACCAGGAGCAGTTGTAGCGTTTAAAAGTAAACACTCAGGCCGGGCACACTGGCTTACGCCTATAATCCCAGCACTTTGAGAGGCTGAGGCTAGAGGATCACTGGAGGTCAGGAGTTCGAGACCAGTGTGCTCAACATGGTAAAACTCCATCTCTACTAAAAATACAAAAATTAGCTGGAAATCGTTTGAACCGTGGAGGTGGAGGTTGCAGTGAGCCAAGATCGTGCCACTGCACTCCAGCCTGGGCTACAGAGCAAGACTCCATCTCAAAAATAAAAGTGGCTGAGTGCGGTGGTTCACGTGTGTAATCCCAGCACTTCGGGAGGCCGAGGCGGGTGGATCACCTGAGGTCAGGAGTTCGAGACCAGCCTGGCCAACATGGTGAAACCGAGTTTCTACTAAAAATACAAAAATTAGCCAGGTGTGGTGGCACGCGCCTGTTATCCCAGCTACTCGGGAGGCTGACGCAGGATAATCGCTTGAACCTGGGAGGTGGAGCTTGCGGTGAGCCAAGATTGCGCCGCTGCACTCCAGCCTGGGCAACAAGAGTGACACTTCACCTCAAAAAAATAAAAATAAAAATAAAAAAGTAAATAAAAATAAACACTCAGAGCCCGGGTGTGTTGGCTCACGCCTATAATCTCAACACTTCGGAAGTCCAAGGCGGGTGGATCACTTGAGGTCAGGAGTTCAAGTCCAGCCTGGTGGCCGGGTACAGTGGCTCACGCCTGTAATCCCAGCACTTTGGGAGGCTGAGGTGGGTGGATTACAAGGTCAGGAGATCGAGACCATCCTGGCTAACTCGGTGAAACCCCGTCTCTACTAAAAATACAAAAAATTAGCCGGGCATGGGGGCGGGCGCCTGTAGTCCCAGCTACTAGGTAGGCTGAGGCAGGAGAATGGCGTGAACCCGGGAGGCGGAGCTTGCAGTAAGCTGAGATCGCACCACTGCACTCCAGCCTGGGCGACAGAGCGAGACTCCGTCTCAAAAAAGTAACAGTAAAAATAAAAAATAAGTACTCAAATTTTGGAAGGTGACTCTGGGACGCTGCTTTTTTTTTTTTTTTTTTTTGAGACAGAGTCTCGCTCTGTCGCCCAGGCTGGAGTGCAGTGGCGCGATCTCAGCTCACTGCAAGCTCCGCCTCCTGGGTTCACGCCATTCTCCGGCCTCAGCCTCCTGAGTAGCTGGGACTACAGGCGCCCGCCCCCATGCCCGGCTAATTTTTTGTATTTTTTAGTAGAGACGGGGTTTCACCACGTTAGCCAGGATAGTTTCTATCTCCTGACCTCGTGATCCGGCCTCCCAAAGTGCTGGGATTACGGGCGTGAGCCGCCACGCCCGGCCGACGCTGTCTTTTTTAACAGGACAGATTCTGGACTGGGAGCATCTTCCAGCCAAGTATCAGGGCTGCCAGGCCGGGAGCCAGTGTTGTGCACTGACCTAGAACATAGGGAACTGACGTCTCTGCTCAGGGCTTGTCTCTCAGGCGCCTCCTGTGCTTTGGGGCAGCAGTCCCCGAGGCAGTGACAGGATGTGGAAACCTCCGGAAGGAAGTGGGTGACTGGTCTGTGAGCTGCTGCACCTTGGCGGGGGAGGGGTCATACCAGTTGGTTGCTTAGAGAAACTGTGTTGTTTTTTTTTTTAAAAAAAAAAAAAAAAAAAAAAAGTGTTGCAGCAGGGGAATTTGTCAGCTCACCTTTCATTTCTCTAGAAGTTTCCAAGGATCACTTGTGCCTCGTCCGTGGGAAGACCAGGGCAGCCGAGAAGGCCTTGGTGTGGAATTCTGGGAGCTGATTCCTGCCTTGTCTTCCCCACACTGTCCCTGGAGAAATCTGAGAAGAGCAGAGCAGAGGGAGCCCCAGACACGGTAACCGGCCCCCAGCCTCAGGGGACAACGAGGGCGGGAGGCAGGGTCCTGAGGCCGTCCTGGCCTTTCTTGGGAAAAAAACCCCTTTCTGTGGCCGATCACCCCTTCGCCAAGGAGCCTGTGTTTGTTCCTGATAGAAAACGGTTTGCTTAGGCCGGGCACAGTGGCTCGTGTCTGTAATCCCAGCACTTCAGGAGGCTGAGGCGGGAGGATTGCTTGAGGCCAGGAATTTGAGAGCAGCCTGGGCAACATGGCGAAACCCCTGTCTCTATAAAAAAAAGAAAATTAGGCCGGGTATGGTGGCTCACGCCTGTAATCCCAGCACTTTGGGAGGCTGAGGCGGGCAGATCACGAGGTAAAGAGTTTGAGACCAATCTGGCCAGCATGGTGAAACCCCGTCTCTACTAAAAGTACAAAAATTAGCTGGGTGTGGTGCCGGGCGCCTGTAATCCCAGCTACTGGGGAGGCTGTGGCAGGAGAATCGCTTGAACCCGGGAGGCGGAGGTTGCAGTGAGCCGAGATTGTGCCACTGCACTCCAGCCTGGGCAACAGAGCAAGACCCTGTCTCAAAAAAAATAAAAAGGAAAAAGAAAACCATTTGCTGTGACGGGAACTCTGCCCGTCCACAGGGCTCTTCAGAAGATGTTAACTTCCACTTAAAATCCCGCACCTGTTTTTTTTTTTTCTCTTTTTTCTTTTTTTTTTAACAGAGTCTCACTCTGTTACTCGGGCTGGAGTAGTGCAGTGGCATGATCTCAGCTCACTGCAGCCTCCGCCTCCCTGGGTTCAAGCGATTCTCCTGTCTCAGCCTCCTGAGTAGCTGTGATTATAGGCACACGCCACCACACCCAGCTAGTGTTTTGTATTTTCAGTGGAGATGGGGTGTCACCATGTTGGCCAGGCTGGTCTCAAACTCCCGACCTCAACTGATCCACCCACCTTGGCCTCCCTAAGTGCAGGGATTAGAGGCATGAGCCCCTTTGCCCCGCACCCGTCACCTTCTGAAAGGAGACAGACATGCCGAGAGGGAGTTTACAAACTCTTCGGGCTGCCCTGTCTTGTTTTCTGGAACTAACTGTCTTTGGCATGAGTCTGGTAGAGAAGTGTAAAGGGATATAGAAAAAGAGAAGCCTCGGCCAGGCATGGTGGCTCACGCCTGTAATCCCAGCACTTTGGGAAGCCGAGGCAGTAGGAGGAGAGGCTTTGGGAAGCCGAGGCAGAACTCACTTGAGACCAGGAGTTCGAGACCAGCCTGGGCAGCGTCGTGAGACCCTATCTCTACAAACAGTTTTAAAAAGCCAAGCGGGGGCCTGTGGGAACAGCCACTTTCTCCCTGAGACGCAGCCCGGGTAGGCGTCTCCTCCTGTGGCTGCAGTCAGCCCAGGGCTGCCATACACTGCTGGAAGGCCCCGCCTGCCCAACCAGGTGGCATGGTTGGAAGCTGAGCCCCCAAATTGGCACGGGAGACCCTGAAATCCCCAAAGGGTAGCACCGGGCCGTGGCGGGTTGGGTTTTGCTCTGTGCTGTGATTTCTGCTGGTGTTGGGAAGTCGGCTGTGAGTCGGCCCAGGCGTGAAGTGGAAATGGGGAGGAGGGAGGCGAGTGGGCCTGGCTGGGTGGACGGGGATGCGCTCGCCTGCGCGGTTTCCTCTCTGGTAAAGTGAGGCCTGCACTCGCCCCATCTAGACAGGCGTGTGGGGACGGAGGTGATTGATCCCCGGTGCGGAGGAGCATCTCGCTCCGCGCCAGGTGGGCCGTGGCCTGGAGGTGGCCGCCATTTTCCCTTCTCCGGAGGGGATTCATTGATCTTGTGCTGCAGGCGGTGTGGCCTGAGGGCAGGTGTGGTTTGCAGAGCTCATCGCCGGGGCAGGTGCAGGCCTCTGGGGTGCTGAGCCATCAATGGGGAAGGGCCTCAGGTCCCCACCAATGGCTCCCACCTGCTCAGCCCCAGCATGGATGCGTCCTGGGCTCCCCAGCCCCAGGGGGATACCGTAAGCACAGAGGTGGCCTCTTTGAATCAGGCGCTTCCCAGGGAGGGTCTGAGACTCGGCTGTGGGATCGCTCCTTCCTTGGGAAGTGGGCGGGGGTGGCCAGGCACAGTGGCTCACGCCAGTGATCCTGGCACCTTGAGAAGCTAAGGTAGAAGGATCGCTTGAGTCCAGGAGTTCTCAAGACCAGCCTAGCAACAGAGTGAGATCCTGTCTCTACAAAAAAAAAATTAACTGGTGGTGAAAAAATTATAAAATATTATGGCAGTGAGTGCCCGTGCTCCCAGCTACTCAGGAGGCTGAGGCAAGAGGATCCCTTGAGCTAGGAGGTCCAGGCTGAAGTGTGAGCCGTGATCCCGCCACTGCACTCCAACCTGGGCAGCAGAGCAAGAACCTCTCTAAAAATAGAAGCAAGCAGGGGAGTACCTGTGTGCTCACCCTGGGGTTGTGCCCCCCAGCAAAACCAGGGCGGGTCAGCAGCCCCTGGACTCGGAGCATCCACGTGGCTCTGCTGGGCAGTGGAGGGGCCCCATGGTGGAGCAGCACTGGCCCGGGAAGCGTGTGTCACTAGGTTCGTGATCAGACGGCTGCCCGCGTCCCCGAGAGTTGCTGAATTCAGGGAGTTGTGGGGCAGAAACAGCGGTGGCTTCACCCACAGAAGCCAGGGTTCGAGCCCCGGCCGATCCACCCACTAGCTGTGTGGTGTGAGACACGGCTGTAGAGTCAGTCATAATCTTCTGAGCCACGATCTCACCAGAGCGATCTAATCTTAACCCCAAGGGACACTGGGTGATGTCTGGGGACATCTGTGGTTGTCGCAACTGAGGGTGCTCCCGGCAGGGAGTGGGTGGAGGCCAGGGACGCTGCTCAGCACCCTGCAGTGCCCAGGACGGCCCCACCTCAGAGAACGATCCGACCCCGATGTCCACAGAGCCAGCGGGTAGAGGCCTGGTTGTCTGGGCCCTGGTTTTCTCATCTGTGAAGTGGAGATGGGGTTTTTGTCCCAGGAAAATGAAAAGTGTAAGTTCCTAGTTGGGTGTTAACCCTGGTGGCAGGAAGTCACGATGGTGGCTAAGGGCCCCAGGTTGGCGCTGGGGAAGTTCAGGCCTTTCTGGTCACCGCAGAGTGTGTGGGACCCGAGTCCTCCTGCCACCTGTGCCCAGGCTGCCCTGAGCAGTGCCCCCAGCCGGTCCTCACCAGGTGTTCCCTTGTGACAAACCATTGACCCTGTACCTTCTTATGGTGCAGACTCTGTTGTCACTGTGTTCACAGTGGACACCGTGTTTTGTTTTGTTTTGCTTTGTTTTGAGGCAGAGTCTTGTTCTGTCGCCCAGGCTGGAGTGCAGTTGCATGATCTCAGCTCACTGCAGCCTCTGCCTCCCAGGTTCAAGCAATTCTCCTGCCTCATCCTCCCAAGTAGCTGGGATTACAGGTGCACGCCACCATGCCTGGGTAATATTTGTATTTTTAGTAGAGACAGGGTTTCACCGTGTTGGCCAGGCTGATCTTGAATTCCCAACCTCAGGTGATCCGCCCGCTTCAGCCTCCCAAAGTGCTGGGACTACAGGCGTGAGCCACCGCACCCAGCCTCTAACTTGCTTTTCTTCCAAACAATGCAGCATCTCTTCCCCCGACGCCCAGGCCCTGTGAGCATTTGGGTCCAGATCATTCTCTGGTGGGGGCCGTTCTGTTGTCTGTTGGGGGGTACCCTAACCGTAAGCCCTGGGGCCTCTGGAAGGATCCATCTCTGCTCACGCCTTGTTTTTATTTTTTATTTTTTGAGACAGAGTCTTATTCTGTGCCCAGGCAGTGGTATGAACGTGGCTCACTGCAGCTTCGAACTCTCAGGGTCAAACGGTCCTCCCAGGACCTCCTAGGCATGCACCACTACACCCAGCTAATTTTAAAATTTTTTTTTTTTTTTTTTTTTTTTTTTTTGAGACGGAGTCTCGCTCTGTCACCCAGGCTGGAGTGCGGTGGCCGGATCTCAGCTCACTGCAAGCTCCGCCTCCCGGGTTCACGCCATTCTCCTGCCTCAGCCTCCCGAGTAGCTGGGACTACAGGCGCCCGCCACCTCGCCCGGCTAGTTTTTTGTATTTTTTAGTAGAGACGGGGTTTCACTGTGTTAGCCAGGATGGTCTCGATCTCCTGACCTCGTGATCCGCCCGTCTCGGCCTCCCAAAGTGCTGGGATTACAGGCTTGAGCCACCGCGCCCGGCCTTAAAATTTTTTTGTAGAGACGAGGCCTCGCCATGTTGCTCAGGCTGACCTCAAACTCCTGGACGCAAACCATCTACCCACCTCACCCTCTCAAACCTCACACTCCTGGATGCAAACCATCTACCCCCCTCACCCTCTCAAACCTCACACTCCTGGACGCAAACCATCTACCCCCCTCACTCTCTCAAAGTCCTTACAGGCGTTACAGGTGTGAGCCACTGTGCTTGGCCTGTCCACACCTTAAATTTAACCCTACAGGATCCAGTCCCAACAGCTGGGAGCTTCCCCGTGATACATGGGTGTTGTTTTCAGCCCGAAATTTGTGGTGATTTTTGATGGCAACCCCAGGACACTCTCCCAGTCATGCATCGTGAGGAATGAGACGCAAGACAGGACTTGGTCACAAGTAACAGCAACATGGCCGGGCGTGGTGGCGCACGCCTGTAGTCCCAGCACTTTGGAGGCCAAGGTGGTGGATCAGATGAGGTCAGGAGTTTGAGACCAGCCTGGCCAGCACGGTGAAACCCCATCTCTACTAAAAACACAAAAATAAGCCGGGCGTGGTGGCAAGTGCCGGTAGTCCCAGCTACTTGGGAGGCTGAGGCAGGAGAATTGCTTCAACCCGGGAGGCAGAGGCGGCAGTGAGCCGAGACCGTGCCACTGCACTCCAGCCTGGGTGACAGAGCACGACTGCCTCAAAAAAAAAAATGAGGTGGGGTTGGGACGTGCTAGAACATAATGAATGTGTGTTTATTTCTTGGGAGCGTTGCGTGGAGCCCAGTGGGCCTGGGCATGCGTGGGCCTCACTCCCTCTTCCCTCTCTGACTCCCCCTTCTGCTGGGTCCTCTTCATGCTGTGGTGAGGACCCCTGCCCTGCCCAGTGCCCTGCGTGGGCCTTGCCCCAAGTGTCACAGTCAAGTCTGCCAGTCCAGGAGATGCACCCAGCAGAGCAGGGTGGGGTCTGCGTCCACTCTGGGCCTGCCACGGTGCCGGCGTCCTGGTAGTGACAACAGTGTTGGCAGTGACAGGCCCTGCGTGCTGAGTGTGAACCTGGCACATGCGCGGTGTGTGATCCAGGTCGTCCCTCCGCCCTGTGCGGGATGGACTCTGTCTCTCTCCCCTGAGGATTCTCAGGGGAGTCGGCGGATGCCGGGGCCCCACGCCAGAGCAACCCCCAGGTGTCTTACAAGTCACCACTCAGGTGTGCGTGAGACTTGGGCTGGCGCCTGGAAGTTTCCTCATTTATACGGTGCCTTGAGGTGGACAGCTGCCCCTGGAATCACCCAGCATCTCGCCATGTGATCCAACATGGAAAGGGGTCTTTGCAGATGAAATCAAGCAAAGAGGGATCACACCAATCGCAGGGGTCTCTGGTTTTTTTTTTGGTTTTTTTTTGAGACGGAGTCTCGTTCTGTCACGCAGGCTGGAGTGCAGTGGCCGGATCTCAGCTCACTGCAAGCTCCGCCTCCCGGGTTTAGGCCATTCTCCTGCCTCAGCCTCCCGAGTAGCTGGAACTACAGGCGCCCGCCACCTCACCTGGCTAGTTTTTTGTATTTTTTAGTAGAGACGGGGTTTCACCGTGTTAGCCAGGATGGTCTCGATCTCCTGACCTCGTGGTCCGCCCGTCTCGGCCTCCCAAAGTGCTGGGATTACAGGCTTGAGCCACCGCGCCCGGCCTCGCAGGGGTCTCTGACCCAGTGACCAGTGACTTGGGCACAGCGGACAACGCTGCCATGACGGAGATTCATTCTGTCAGCTCTGGGGCCGCACGTCCGCGACGAAGGTGTGGGCGGGGCTGGGTCCCTCTGAGGCCGAGGGGCATCTGCCAGGCTTCTCTCTGCTCCTGGCAGTGGCCAGCATCGTGGGCCCTTCGCTTGTGGAAGCATCATCCCCTGTATCCGCCTCCGTCCTCATGGAGCCGTCTCCCCCATATCCGCCTCCGTCCTCACACAGCCGTCTCCCCCGTATCCGCCTCGCTCATAAGGACGTTTGTCTCTGACTGTAGGGCCACCCAGGTCATCCAAGATGACATCCCTCAAGACCTTTTTCCACCTAGGCTGCCATGCACAGGTGCGGGCATTGGGGTGTGGCTTCCTTTGTGGAGGCCACAGTCCGGCCTGCATAGTCCCCTATAACCGGCATCTTAGCCTGCCCCCACACTCAAGCCCCAGAGTGCCAGGTAGCAGCAAGTCCAGGCCCCAGCCAGGCATCAGCACCGGGGAAGATGCGGCCACTGCGGGCTCTTGGGGCCCGGCTCTCTGCACCTTCTGCTGTGAGCCAGTCAGGCCTCGCCATGTGCAGTTCTGTTCTGTCCACTGAGGAGGTGGCCCCCTTTGGGTGAAACTCCTTAAAGTCAGAAGTCCAGGGGATGTTTTGAACCCTGCCACTAGGGGCTGGGTGCAGTGGCTCAGGCCTGTAAGCCCAGCATTTTGGGGGGCAGAGGTGGGAGGATCGTATGAGCCCAGGAGTTGGAGACCATCCTGGGCAACATAGAGAAACCCCGTTTCTACTAAAAGAAAATTGCCCAGGTGTGGTGGTGTGTGTCTGTAGTCTCAGCTAGTCAGGAGGCTGAGGTGGGAGGATCTCTTGGGCCTGGGAGGCAGAGGTTGCAGTGAGCCATGATGGCACCACTGCACTCCAGCCGGGGCAACAGAGCGAGACCCTGTCTCAGAAAATAAAACAAACAAAAAAATCCTGCCGCTTGTGCCGTCAGCACAAGTTTCTGGGAAATTCTGTCGCCTCCAGCAGGTCGTGATTCCCCTGTGTATTTCAGGTCCACGGGAGAGCTGTGGAGCTTGGTGAGTGTTTCGTGGCCTCTCGGTTTGGTCGGCACCCCCAGCCGCTGGCCCAGGACCCCTCTGCAGAAGCATTCCAGGAGAGCAGGCGTCACCAAGATGTCCAACCCCTTCCTGAAGCAAGTCTTCAACAAGGACAAGACATTCCGCCCCAAGCGCAAGTTCGAGCCGGGCACCCAGCGCTTCGAGCTGCACAAGAAGGCGCAGGCGTCGCTGAACGCCGGGCTGGACCTGCGGCTAGCCGTGCAGCTGCCCCCAGGCGAGGACCTGAACGACTGGGTGGCCGTTCACGTGGTGGACTTCTTCAACCGCGTCAACCTCATCTACGGCACCATCAGCGACGGCTGCACAGAGCAGTCCTGCCCCGTCATGTCGGGGGGCCCCAAGTACGAGTACCGCTGGCAGGACGAGCATAAGTTCCGGAAGCCCACGGCGCTCTCCGCCCCCAGGTACATGGACCTGCTGATGGACTGGATCGAGGCGCAAATCAACAACGAGGACCTCTTCCCCACCAACGTGGGTGAGTCAGTGGTGGGCAGGGGCTCGGGGATACACAGCCTTCCGGAAAAGTCAGGGAGGCCAAGCACAGTGGCTCACACCCGTAATGCCAGCGCTTTGGGAGGCCGAGCCCAGGGATCACTTGAGCCCAGGAGTTTGAGCTCAGCCTGGGCAACATAGCAAAATTCCATCTCTACGAAAAATTTTAAAAATTAGCCAAGCATGGTGGTGCACACCTGTGGTTGCAGCTACTCGGGAGGTTAAAGTGGGAGGATTGCTTGAGGCTAGGAGGTTGAGGCTGCAGTAAACTATGATCGTGCCACTGCACTCCAGCCTGGGCGACAGATCAAGACCCTGTCTCAAAAAAAAAAAAGAGATTCCATTTCTGAATCTTCTCCTAAGTCGGTCTGCGCTTAGTAGCCCCGCTTCACCCCGAATCGCTCCTGGTGACTCCTGCTCCTTCACCCCAAAGCAGAGAAGGGCGGGATCAGCATCAGGCCTGGAGTCCTTCGCAGAGGAGACAAGTACCCCTGCCAGCGCTGGGCCCAGTGTTCTCAGTGGTTTCAGAATCACTGCCATGGAACCCCTGGGCCCACCAGGATCATCACCCTTTGGTGGGACCTTCCGCCCAGCTCGATGTGTAATGCTCTGTGTGGCTCTCGGGGCACCCGTAAACGTGGGTTTGTGGGTGATCATTGGGGCACGTCCCTCCAGAGTACAGCAGACCTTTCTTTTCTTTTTCTTTTTCTTTTTTTTTTTTGAGACAGTGTCTCACTCTGTCACTCAGACTAGAGTGCAGTGGCACCATCTCAGTTCACTTCAACCTCTGCCTCCCAGGTTCAAGCGATTCTCCTGCCTCAGCCTCCTGAGTAGCTGGGATTACAGGTGTGAGCCACCACACCCGGCTAATTTTTTTTATTTTTCAGTAAAGATGGGGTTTCTCCATGTTGGCCGGGCTGGTCTCGAACTCCTGACCTCAAGTGATCTGCCTGCCTCGGCCTCCCAAAGTGCTGGGATTACAGGCGTGAGCCACCAGCCCCCGGTCTGCCGGCAATTTCTGTCTGGAAGCCCCTTGTCACATCCAGGAGCAAAGGGTTCTGGACATGGACTTGACCTGAGTTCGTGGACCCGCCCCACCCCTCTCCCTGCAGGCACGCCGTTCCCCAAGAACTTCTTGCAGACGGTGCGGAAGATCCTGTCGCGGCTGTTCCGCGTGTTCGTGCACGTCTACATCCACCACTTTGACCGCATCGCGCAGATGGGCTCCGAGGCCCACGTGAACACCTGCTACAAGCACTTCTACTACTTCGTCAAGGAGTTCGGCCTCATCGACACCAAGGAGCTGGAGCCACTGGTGCGCGGGCTTGGGGCTGAGGGCTTGGGGTTACGGTGGGGCTGGCGGCCTGTGGCAGAGGCACCCTTCCGGGGGCAGGACCCTGACTGCCCGCGGTCGGCCCAGCAGCTGGCGGCCCCGGCTCTCCCTGGGTCACAGCTCCGGGCCCTAGAGTTGGGTCCCGGGTACCCTGCTGATGGGACAGGTGGTGAGGTAGCCGGGAGGGATCCCGCGTTCTCCCGCGGAGCAAATCCGGGCGGCAGTAGCCGGGAGGGATCCTGCGTTTTCCCATGGAACAAATCCGGGCGGTAGGTGCAGTTTCCTCCGCGCCAGCCCCGCCTCCTGCTCGCTCCGCCTTCACAGTCCAGAGCTCAGGTGTCCCAGAGCGCAGCTCAGTGTCCCTTATGAAAGGGATAGGAGCCGGCGCAGACTCCACCCTAACTTTGTTTGTTTGGGTTTGTTTTGAGACCTAGTCTCACTGTCGCTCAGGCTGGAGTGCAGTGGTACGATTTTGGCTCACTGAAGCCTCCGCCTCCCGGGTTCAAGTGATTCTCCTGCCTCAGCCTCCCAAGTAGCTGGGATTACAGGCGCCCGCCACCACGCCCAGCTAATTTTTTGTGTTTTTAGGAGAGACGAGGTTTCACCGTGTTAGCCAGGATGGTCTTGATGGATCTCCTGACCTCGTGATCCGCCCGCCTCGGCCTCTCAAAGTGCTGGGATTACAGGCGGGAGCCACCGTGCCTGGCTTTTTTTTTTTTTTTTGGAGCTGGAGTCTCCCTCTGTCACCCAGCCTGGAGTGCAGTGGTGTGATCTTGGCTCACTGCAACCCCCACCTCCTGGGTTCCAGCAAGTCTCCCCCTCAGCTTCCCAAGTAGCTGGGATTATAGGCACGTGCCACCACGCCATGCTAATTTTTGTGTTTTTAGTAGAAACCGGGTTTCACCATGTTGGCCAAGCTGTCTCGAACTCCTGAACTCAGGTGGTCTGCCTGCCTCGGCCTCCCAAAGTGCTGGAATGACAGACGAGAGCCAGCGCACCTGGCCTAGACTCCACCTGACTTCCGCAGCCAGCCTGGTGCCTCTGCGCCCACCCTTGCTTGTCTGCTTTCCACGTTACCAGGTTTTATCTAGAGACGAACCCAGGGACCAGATTCCTCAGTGTGGAGTCCACGTCCCTGAAGCCAATGTGGCTTCTTGAAATTGGGGCCCACATTTGTGACTCGGTGATGGGGACCAGCAGTGGAGTGGGTGCCCGTGATTCAGGGCCTGGCCCTGGAACCTGCCCAGGGGCTGCTCTGTTCCCAGGTTGTGGAGCATTGTATGGATGTGGTGGCCCTGATATGAGAGCGGGACCCCACCAGCCTCCCAGTGGCTGGGACCACAGCCACCACGCCTGGCTGATTTTTTATTGTGTTTCGAGATGGGGTCTCACTATGATGCCCAGGTTGTTCTCAAACCCATGGATGCAAGCAGTCCTCCCGCCTTGGTCTCCCAAGGGGTTAAGATGACAGGTGGGAGCCATCACTCTCTTACAACTTTAAAAAATGGTTAAAAATGGATGGACGAGGTGGCTCCCACCTGTAATCCCAACCCTTTGGGAGGCCAAAGGGGGAGGATCACTCGAGCTCAGAAGTTTGAGAACAGCCTGGGCAACATAGTGAAACATCTTCTCTATAAAAAACAAAAAAATTATCCAGGCACAGTAGTGCACGCCTGTGGTCCCAGCTACTCAGGGGGCTGAGACAGGAGAATCGCTTGAGCCTGGGAGGTCGAGGCTGTAGTAAGTCGAGATTGTGCCACTGTACTCCAGCCTAGGTGACAGCCAGTAACCTGTCTCAAAAAAAAAAAAAAAAAGATTAAGGCCGGGCACAGTGGCTCACGCCTGTAATCCCAGCACTTTGGAATGCCAAGGCAGGCAAATCATGAGGTCCAGAGTTCAAGACCAGCCTGGCCAATGTGGTGAAACCCCATCTCTACTAAAAATACAAAAAATTAGCTGGGCGTGGTAGTGGCGGGCACCTGTAATCCCAGCTACTCAGGAGGCTGAGGCAGGAAAATCGCTTGAACCCAGGAGGTGGAAGTTGCAGTGAGCCAAGATCACGCCATTGCACTCTAGCCTGGGCGACAGAGCAAGACTCTGTCTCGGGAAAAAAAAAAAAAAAAATTAGCCAGGCTTGGTGGTGGGCACTTGTGATCCCAGCTACTCAGGAGGCTGAGGCAGGAGAATTGTTTGAACCCAGGAGGTGAAGGTTGCAGTGAGCCAAGATTGCGCACAGCACTCCAGCCTGAATGACAGCATGAAACTCCGTCTCGGAAAAAAAAAAAAAGATTAAAAACATCTTCATGGCCGGGCGCGGTGGCTCAAGCCTGTAATCCCTGCACTTTGGGAGGCCGAGGCGGGCGGATCACGAGGTCAGGAGATCGAGACCATCCTGGCTAACACGGTGAAACCCCTTCTCTACTAAAATACAAAAAAAAAAAAAAATTAGCTGGGCGCGGTGGCGGGCGCCTGTAGTCCCAGCTACTCGGGAGGCTGAGGCAGGAGAATGGTGCGAACCCGGGAGGCGGAGCTTGCAGTGAGCCGAGATCGCGCCACTGCACTCCAGCCTGGGCGACAGAGTGAAGACTCCGCCTCAAAAAAAAAAAAAAAAAAATCTTCACATAACTTCCTCATTTTTGTGTATCCCCTTTCAGGCTTTGCTACCGGTAAACATGTTGCTAAATTTAAAATTAATAGTTGCATACTGGGTGGGTCTAAAGGTAGTAGTGGGGTCTTCTCTTTTTTCTTTGTTTTTCTTTTCTTTTTCTTTTTTTCTGTATTCTAGAACTTTCCTTCCAGTGTCCCAGTCTGTATAAGACAGGGGTCAGCAAACTGCAGCCCCCGGCTGGCTTTCTGTTTTTGTAAATAAAGTTTGTAGGGTTTTGTTTTGTTTTTGTTTTTGAGACAGGGTCTCGCTCTGTCGCCCAGGCTGGAGTGTAGTGGTGCGATCTCAGCCACTGCAACCTCCACCTCACAGGTTTCAAGTGATTCTCCTCCCTCAGCCTCCTGAGTAGCTGGGGCTACAGGTGACCACCACCACGATTGGCTAATTTTTTGTATTTTTAGTAGGGATGGGGTTTCACCATGTCAGCCAGGATAGTCTCGATCTCCTGACTTCGTGATCTGCCCACCTCGGCCTCCCAAAGTTGTTTTTTTCTCTTTTGAGACAGAGTCTCGCACTGTCACCCAGGCTGGAGTGCAGTGGCGCTATATTGGCTCATGGCAACCTCCACCTCCCAGGTTCAAGCGATTCTCCTCCCTCGGCCTCCCAAGTAGCTGAGATTACAGGCGCCCGCCACCATGCGTGGCTAATTTCTGTATTTTTAGTAGAGATGGGGTTTCACCGTGTCATCCAGGCTGGTCTCAAACTCCTGACCTCAGGTGATCTGCCTTCCTGTGCCTCCCAAACTGCTGGCATTACAGGCATGAGCCACCATGCCTGGCTGTAAATAAAGTTTTATTGGCAGCGAGGTACACTCATGAGGTTACCAGTTGTCTGAGGTGGCTTTTGAGGTACAAGACAGAGTTGAGCCATCATGACAGGGACCGTCTGGCCCACAGATCTGAAAATGTTGACTCTGGCCTCAAAGGGTAGCTTGCTGCCCCTGGTCCCAGGTGTGCGATTGCCTGTATGGTTTTTGTTGTTTGGGGGTTCAGGGAAGCCCCCAGCTGCCATCCCTCCGCCTGTGCGTCTCCGTGTGTCTGCTGTTCACATCACCCCTTTTGGGAGTGTCTGGTGGGAGCTGATGTCCTGCTTGCTCTTAACAGAAAGAAATGACCGCCCGTATGTGCCACTAAGAGCCCCGCGGACCCCCCCGGTGCCCGAACCGCCGCTGGGGCCTCAGAGACTTGGAGGAGGATGCTCTGGAACCATCATCACGCTTCTCTCCAGCCTGAGCATCTCAGGGAGCCCAGGGGCTGGGCCGCTGAGCAGGTGTTGGTCCTCAGGAGCTCCAGCCCTGGACGGCAGACGCCTTCCTCACCGTCTCGAGCCTCAGTCTCCCGTCTGGGACCGAACGTGAACTGTGTAATTCTGTGTGTTACTAGCAACCGGAAAAGCCCACTGTGTTTTTTAAACCACTTCCACTTTCCAGGAGGCTGGACGGCTTCCAGGGTCACTCCCCGCCCTGGGTGGCTCCCCGGCTCCTGGAACTTCTGCCCCAACCCTCGTCCCCACCTGATCCTGCCTCCACCTCACTGGGGAGCCCCCGGGGCTGCTATGGCCACAGCCCTGCCTGGGCCTGTCTCTCAGAGGCACCCAGCTTGCTCAGCCTCCTACATGTCTCCTGTTGGGGAGGCAAGAGGCTGAGGGGCTTCCGAGCCCCTGAGGGCGGACATCTCCTGCCACAGGCCTTTTACTCTGCGCTCTCCACCGGCAGCCGCTGGTGTCCCTTCACACAGAGGCACGACCTGGACCCGGGCATCCTCTTTCCTCCCTCCCCAATCTCTTCCATTTTCCTACAGATTTTTTTTTTTTACAAACTAGAGACAGGGGTCTCGCAGAACTCCTGGCCTCAAGTGATCCTCCCACCTCGGCCTCCCAAAGTGCTTGGATCACAGGTGTGAGCCACCGCACCGCAGCCCTCTCTCTTACCCCGTGCACGCTGCTTCCTCAGTTCTTCCGAAACATTCAGCTGAAACATTCAGGGCTTCCTGGACTCCTGGGAGCCCACGTCCTGCACCCCGGCTGCTGACTCATTTCCTAAGGGCCCCTTTGTGTATCATAAAGGGTTTGATTTTTATAGTCACATTTACAACCATCTTGAGATATTTTTTTTTACTTTTTTTTTTTTTTTTAAAATGGCGTCTCCCTCTGTCGTCCAGACTGGAGTCCAATGGCACGCTCTCGGCTCACTGCAACCTCCATCTCCTGGGTTCAAGTGATTCTTCTGCCTCAGCCTCCCGAGTAGCTGGGATTACAGGCGCCTGCCACCATGCCCAGCTAATTATTGTATTTTTGTTTATTTGTTTGTTTCTGTTTTTGAGACAGTCTCGCCCTGTCGCCCAGGCTGGAGTGCAGTGGTGCAATCTCCACTCACTGCAAGCTCTGCCTCCCAGGTTCACGCCATTCTCCTGCCTCAGCCTCCCAAGTAGCTGGGACTACAGGTGTGTGCCACCAGGCCCGGCTAATTTTTTGTATTTTTAGTAGAGACGGGGTTTCACCGTGTTAGCCAGGATAGTCTTGATATCCTGACCTCGTGATCTTCCCGTCTTGGCCTCCCAAAGTGCTGGGATGACAGGTGTGAGCCACCACGCCCAGCCTAATTACTGTATTTTTAGTAGAGATGAGGTTTCACCATGTGGCAGGCTGGCTCCTGACTTCAGTGATCCGCCACTTGTCTCAAAGTGCTGGATTACAGGCATGAGCTGCACCGGCCTGAAGAATTTTTTTTTGAAACTCCTGGACTTCAGTGGTCGATCTCGCCCCACCCTTTGTCCCTCCCAACAAGTGGCTGGTGGATTTGTACAGGGTCAGTGAGCCCATCTGCCACCCCACCGGCAGCTGGAAAGGCGAAATTTTTAAATCAATAACATAGTGAGCCCTCTGCCTCCTCGGCATGATGTCCTCTTTCCTTCTGACCAACCCAGGCAGGACTCTTCTGTGCCTGACACCTCTCCCCCGGTCTGGAATCTTCCAGTTCTTCTAGAATTGGCCTTTCGCAGATGCTGCAGACTTCCAGTTGAACCCCTTTTTCTGTGTGGCCCCTGGGGCTGCAGGACCAAAATCCATGAGCTCTGTGTCCCCTAGACCCTTGGAAGGTGAGAGCAGGGCACTGAGCAAAGGCAGCCACCTCCTCTCCCTGACTGAACCCCCGCCACCCTACTCCTCACCAGAATTGTCAGTGGCCTTTCACGACGGTGGCCCTTCCCGCCTGAGCCCTGCATTGTCCCAGACCACACAGAAGTCTGGTCACCTCTGGGTGCCTGGGATGGTCACCGAAGAGAAGGACGCTGTCCCCGTCTCTCCTGGCTTCTGCCAGAAAATCGAACAAGTGCAATTAACACTGTCACCACCGAAGCCTGAAGCTCCCAGGACTCGTCCTTGATCCAGAAACCACTGGGTCCGGCTCTTGGAGCCCCCAGGAGAGGGACCTCCCAGCCGAGCCCTCGAAGGACTCCATGAAACCAGGATCTGCTTGATGGAATGTATCCCCTTGTACCTGCAAGATGAAGGCCAGACACCCACACCTGTGTCTCCCCCAGGGCTCAGGATGTCCCAGCAGCCCCACCATGCAGCTTCCCAGGTGGGTTTGGGAGGTGGGAGCAGGGACCATCCCTGTCCCCTTCACCCTCACTCCATCCACCCCAGAGACCACCCTCCCCCAGCCAGATACGGAATAAAACTACAGACGCAGATGTCGGAATAAATGGTGTCGTTTTGGTGCCCATGGCGGCTGGTGCTCACTTCCCTTTTCCTGCCATTATTAACAGGGTGCCCTATCCCAGGGGTGAGCTTCAGGTCTTGGGGCTGAGAAATTTTTTTTTTTTTTTTGAGACGGAGTCTCGCTCTGTCGCCCAGGCTGGAGTGCAGTGGCATGATCTCGGCTCACTGCAAGTGCCACCTCCCTGGTTCATACCATTCTCCTGCCTCAGCCTCCCGAGTAGCTGGGACTACAGGCACCTGCCACTGCGCCCAGCTAATTTTATTTTATTTTTTAATTTTTTAATTTTTTTTTTTTTTTTTGAGACAGGGTCTTACTCTGTGGCCCAGGCTGGAGTGCAGTGGTGCGATCATAGCCCACTGCAGCTTCAACCTCCAAGGCTCAAACAATCCTCCTGCCTCAGCCTCCCAAGTAGCTGGGACCACAGCTACATTACCACGCCCAGCTAATGTTCTTTATTCTTCTTCTTTTTTATTTATTTATTTTTTTTGTAGTCTGGGCGCAGTGGTTCACGCCTGTCATCCAGCAGTTTGGGAGGTCACGGCAGGCAGATCACTTGAGGTCAGGAGTTTGAGACCAGACTGTCCAACATAGTGAAACCCCATTTCTACTAAAAATACAAAAAAGTGGCCAGGAGCAGTGGCTCATGCCTGTAGTCCCAGCACTTTGGGAGGCCGAGGCGGGCGGATCACGAGGTCAGGAGTTCAAGACCAGCCTGACCACCATGGTGAAACCCCGTTTCTACTAAAAATACAAAAATTAGCCAGGCGTGGTGGCGCGCCTGTAATCCCAGCTACTTGGGAGAGTGAGGCAGCAGAATCACTTGAACCCGGGAGGTGGAGGTTGCAGTGAGTGGGGATGATACCACTGCTCTCCAGCCTGGGTGACACAGCGAGACTCCGTCTCAAAGAAAGCAAAATTAATTTTTTTTCTAGAGACAGAGTCTCGCTCTCTTGCCCAGGCTGGTCTCAGACTCTACTCCCCAAGTGATCCTCCCGCCTCAGCCTTCCTGAGGTGCTGGGATCACAGGCAGGAGCCACCACGCCTGTACTAAAAATGCAAAAAAATTAGCCAGGCACAGTGGCAGGTGCCTGTAATCCCAGCTACTGGGAGACTGAGGCAGGAGAATTGCTTAAACCCAGGTGGTGGAGGTTTCAGTGAGCCGAGATCGCACCACTGCACTCCGGCCTGGATGACAGAGCAAGACCCTGTCTTAAAAAAAAAAAAAAAGAAAAGAAAATGAAGCAGTAAAGTTTTTACCATGTGCCGAGGAACAGATTTCAGAGGGAAAAGACTGAAGGGGTGACCTCCAGGCCAGCCCATTACTACCTAGCTCCTATGGCCTTGGACAAATTAACATACACTAAAACTTTTTATTTACTTATTTATTTCATTTTTAAATTTCTTTTTATTTTATTTTATTATTATTATTTTTTTGAGACAGTCTTGCTGTTGCCCAGACTGTAGTGCAGTGGCCTGATCTCAGCTCACTGCAACCTCCACCTCGCAGGTTCAAGCAATTCTCCTGCCTCAGCCTTCCGAGGAATTGGGACTACAGGCGCCCGCCACCACGCCTGGCTAATTTTTTTTTTTTTTTTTGAGACGGAGTCTTGCTCTGTCGCCCAGGCTGGAGTGCAGTGGCGTGATCTCCGCTCACTGCAAGCTCTCCCGCCTCCCGGGTTCACGCCATTCTCCTGCCTCAGCCTCCCAAGAAGCTGGAACTACGGGCGCCCGCCACCACGCCCGGCTAATTTTTTTGTATTTTTAGTAGAGACGGGGTTTCATCATAATGGCCGGGCTGGTCTCAAACTGCTGACCTCAGGCGACCCTCTTGCCTCGGCCTCCCAAAGTACTGGGATTACAAGCGTGCGCCACCACGCCCGGCCCTAATTTTTGTATTTTTAGTACAGACAGGATTTCACCATGTTGGCCAGGCTGGTCTCAAACTCCTGGCCTCAAGGGATCCTCCAGCCTCAGCCTCCCAAAGTGCTGGGATTGCAGGCGTGAACCACTGTGCCCGGCTGCTTTTTGTTTTCTTTATGTGAAAAATGTGGGCATTGGGTGAGTGAGTCTCTGGGGTCCCTTCCAATGTGAAACGTTGTGGGTCCGGGGCCTAACGGAAGACCAGCTTTGGCTCACGATTTGGTATTTTGCGCCTCAGGGAGGGGCCGACCGGGACCCACAGGGTGAAACCTCAGCCCTGTGCCCCTCAGGCTGTGCTGCCACACCTCGTCCCTAGAGGGCACCGTGGCGCTAGGAAGGGACGGGCTCCTGTTAGGCAGAGCTGGGGATTGGGAACCGCCTTCCAGAGAGGCTGCTGTTTACTAGGTTGTTTGTTTGTTTGGAGACGGAATTTCACTCTTGCTTCCCAGGCTGGAGTGCAATGGCGCGATCTTGGCTCACTGCAACCTCCGCCTCCTGGGTTCAAGCAATTCTCCTGCCTCAGCCTCCCTAGCAGCTGCGATTATAGGCATGTGCCACCATGCCCAGCTAATTTTTGTATTTGTTTTTGTTTTTGTTTTTTTGAGATGGAGTCCCTCTCTGTCACCCAGGCTGGAGTGCAGTGGTGCCATCTCAGCTCACCGTCACCTCCGCCTCCCAGGTTCAAGCGATTCTCCTGCCTCAGCCTCCGGAGTAGCTGGGATTACAGGCATCCACCACCACGCCCAGCAAATTTTTGTATTTTTAGTAGAGACGGGGTTTCACCATATTGGCCAGGCTGGTCTCGAACTCCTGACCTCAGGTTATCCCACCACCTCGGCCTCCCGAAGTGCTGGGATTATAGGTGTGAGCCACCACACCCAGCCAAGATTCACCATTTCTAAATTTAAAATTGGCTGGGTGCAGTGGCTCACACCTGTAATCCCAGCACTTTGGAGGCCAAGGCAGCAGGATCACTTGAGCTCAGGAGTTTGAGACCAGCCTGGGCATCATGGCAAGACCTCATCTCTACTAAAAATAAAAATAAATTAGCCGGGTGTGGTGGTGCATGCCTGTAGTCCCAGCTACTTGGGAGGCTGAGGCAGGAGGATCACTTAAGCCTCCAAAGTTGAGGCTGCCGTGAGCCATGATTGTGCCACTATATTTCAGCCTGGGCAACAGAGCAAGACCCTGTATCAAAAAAAAACAATTTGAAATTCAGTGGTGCTGTGTACAGTATATTCACAAAGTGATGCAAATATCACTGCTGTCAAATTCAAAACCATTCCATCACCCCAAAGGGAATGCCGTCCCCATCAGCACTCACTCCCATCCCCTCCCCAGCCCCTGACAAACACATCCACCCTCCATCTCTGTGGGTTGCCCTATTCTGGGCATTTCTTATCTGTACATTTCTTTCCAAGGTAATTCGTAATTATTTTTGGTGGTTAATATGA